GTCAGAACGGTGTCCTCCCATCCAGAACCGTGTCATCCGGACTGAAACGCTATCCCGTCGGTCGGTATGACCTTTCGCTTACAAAGGATATTCCCCTTCTGGACACTGTTCATCTCAGACGTTTTCTCCCCCTTGTTAAACCTTGAATCCATCCCCCTGACACTCTACCCCCTCACCCCGCTCTTCCTGCCCATTCGCACATGCAGAACCAAAACCAAGACCAAAATGCAAGCACTAAAAGTCGGCTCGGCAGGTGAATTGCAATGACTGAAGACGAGGGGAGGGGCGGGGAACCGGAGGAGTGGTACAGGAGGGGTCATGGCGGAGTGAGGGGCCGGAGCTACTGGTTGCAAAAGCGATGAAACGTTGCCTGAAGGTAGGATTGGATATAAGGGGGCGGGGCTTGCGGATGAGATGCCGTTATGGGTTTCCCATGCTCAGCCTGAAAAACTTGATGCTGAGAGGAAGTTAGCAGTCTTGGATGCGACACTTGGAACCTAACGCACACAGAAACCCCGCAACGCGGCCTTCCCCCCACCCCCTCCACCTGCGCCTGGCTCCACAAAACAAGTGGACACCGCATGGTCAGAACTAGCCAAGTTGGAACAGGCCACGTCATCTAGCACAGACCAACTGATGCGATGTGCTACCAGTCCACGCAGCTCTGTGAAAAACTGCGCCCCGTATAAAAGTGGACAGCAAAACTGAACTTGGCTAGCCTGGGAGGGGAAAGTTTCGAGCGGAGGGGGCGGGAGGAAGGGAGGTGAGGGCTTGGAGGAAGAGAGGGGAGAGGAAGAAGATTGTTTGGTTCTTAGAATGTCATAAAGAAAGGAGATGGGACAAGGATGTTGCCTGAAAAGGACCTGAGAGATTTTGCTTGGTGATAGGGATTGAAAACAGAGGTAGGGATTATTTTAGGAAAGGGAGAGGGAGGGGAATGTTACACCTAAATCTCCATAATCGCAAATATCATATTTTAGCTTAAAAATCACGTTGAATGCGCAATTTCTTGGATACACGTAGTTGTCTATTTTTGCGGAAATGGATCCTAGAAATACTAGGAGTTAAAAAAAAAAAAAA